TATAATTTGCTACGCAGTAATCATGAGGTCTTCTGTTGGCTAACCCTTATACGCAAAAGCAAGAAGGGCGATCGTTTTGTGAATAGAAATCAATTCGGAGGAGCTAGAGAATCTGCATTGTCGTGTGCTAGCCCTCTGTATATTTGTGTGTATTCCGCATAGGGTGTCGACGAGATGAATTGCAGTTGAATTTTATTTAACTTAAACTAAACTCTGCCAATAACTTAACTACACGTATAAAAATAAAGGAGTTGTCCAGGGAATAAGGTTGAAGAATAGACCAGATATGCATAATACGTGGCCAAGGGTACGTTTGATGTTTTCGATTAGGCGGAGCGTCGTATGTACGTCCATTAACTCAACTTTATCCTGATCACTGGTCTATTATGTAGTCTGCAAAGTGAAAAGCTTGAAAACGTTTTTTAAAAGATTTTTTCTTTCGTACCAAATACGATCGCCACTGGACCTACTATAAACGCAATACAATTCAAAAAAAGCCCCTTACCTAAGCCGTATAAGACATTACCAAAGGGAAACGTGTTTCACAGCTGCAGGCTGAGTTTAATATCTCATTGACGACGAATAAATTCACTGAAAACCAACCGTACGGCCAACGAACGGCCAGATATAAATATCAGGTCGGTTTTTACTAAGACACTTATCGCCGCCCTCAAAGGCACCGTCAAGCTAAAACATGAGTATTTCCTCTTTCGTTTCAAGCGCTGCGTCAATGTCCTCAGGTAGGCTGTCATTTGAAATGATGTACTTCAATAAGAGTCATTGCCTCGCTACTTATATGCATTCTATACGTAGAATTGACGTTTGTTTGCATACATCACGATATAACGTAATCTGCATACCCCGGACTGTGTCGATACTAATGTATTCATGCTCGTTATTTATGTTATATATGTATATATATATATATATATATATATATACTTACACATGTCACGTAATAGATTCAGTTGGTGGGGGCTCATCCAGCGACCCCTGGCCTATTGTATATAAATAATCGTCAAGCGTTACCCAGCAATGTGAAATGTAAAATTTAATACCTATTATCTAATCTTTCTATTACTGCCTCAAGTAGTAGTAGTACTGCAATCTCAATCCAGTGAACGTGGCCAATTAGCCGAATGTAGCACGTTCCCGTGACCGCATAGTGAGTATCGTGTTTGCCGGCCAAACTTAGAAACACGTGCTGGTCCAAGTTCGAATCTGGTCAAAGGCATACTTTGTCCCGTACTGGGAACTAGCTGTCAGAAGTAATGCCTCACGAGTTAAATACCGGACATCAAACAAAAACACTAATTAGCTAAATATAATAGAATCATGGGGAAGTCAGCGACGACATCGTTGCTAGGGCGGCCGTTGCCGCGAAAAATACCAGAAGGAAGAATACGGCTGTTTGCCAACCCGTCTGGACGTTTCTCCAATCGCGTCAGACTGAGAAGCGAGAGCTTCTTAAAGAACTACCATAAAATGAGGCCATTGCAAGTGACGAACGCGGGCAACAGCAGCGAAACAAGCAACAGAAAATCGGTCGTGCAATCATCAGAAAAAGGTACGTTTTTCAATTGCTACAGTGCATTACCGCTATTTTTCAATCATGCATACATACCCACACATGTTTATAAATGTACAAGTATAGACTTGAGGATTTTGATGTGACGAAGCCGGACAGCGTATGAATATTTATAACATATTAATTTTATAGTTGTCGTTTTTTCCCGTTTCGGTCTCCTTATTTTAATTTTTCTACTACGGACTACTGCTATTACAACAGTCTCACAATGCAGCCACAGACATGACGAAATCGAGCCTGGGTGGAAGTACGCGCGGGCAATGACGAGCCTTAGCACTTCCGACAGAAATAATAACAAAAGAGAAAAAGTAAGTCAAGGAAACTTGTAGCAGACATTCTGCTCGCGGATAACGTCGACTGTCTCATTTAGCGGGTCGCTTCCCACCTTTTGGTACAGGTAGTTGGCAGCGAAATCGGGGATTGAGGATGATCTAAGCGGGCTCGAATACGGTAATTATTGCATAGCAACACATGCTTACGGTATGGTAAGTAAAAGTGGATTGATTAATAGTATCGGTAAAAGTTAACATATAGGAACAGTACTAATAACATTACCGCTGTCCCTAGTGGCGGGGTAGATGCTTCAATCCTGTTATGTCTACGATAATACATCGGCACAGACATCTAACAGGAAAGATATGGGCTGCTCTCGCGCGTCCAGCTCCTTCTGCCGCATGTTGCCTCTTCAAACAGCCTTTGAGTCTAAGCTGTAGAATACCTCGAAAACTATCTCTGTCTATTCGGTATCAGCGGGTCGTTTACCCTGCCGTTAAATCTCTCCAGTTGGCCCATCTTCTTTCATAGAGTTTCGTCTATTTCTAGAAGAATCGGCAAACGCTTCCATCATGTCTTACTCATTCGAGAAGCTGCTAGATTTCTCGTATCGCAAGACATTACCTGGCCAAGCGAAGAACTCATTCACGATTGAGTGCGCTTTTCATTACCTGTAGCGTGTTGTTGTAACGCTTCTGGTGACGCGTCCGTTGTCAGCACTCATTGTGATTTCCTCGACTTCTGCTAGACCACCAGCGATCATATATACTATGACTAGCAAATATATTGCCACAACCAGGGTTGCAGCTGACATCGGCGTCATTATACGGCAACAGGCCTCCCACTAACGATCAACCAGCTTTGGGCACGGTTACATTTTGACGGGAAAAGGTAACCCGCCATTGATCAAGGCAAAGTTCCAGGAGTCGCTTGGGGTGAGAAAGAGGGAATCAGCGTGTGGGATGCAGGGCCTCCTTAGCAACTTTTTCTCTGTGAGTTCTCAGAGCGATGGCATCATTCGACGCTGCTGGACAGAGACGGTAATGATTTGAAGGGCAATGACGGTTGATTTGGCGGGGGTGGTCGTGTCAGTTGCGGGAGTGCGTCGGCTCTGTTCTCTGTGACGGCCGAAAGAGCGATAAATTCGCACGTTGACCCCGCGCGAAGCAGCTACTCGGATCCGCTGCGTAGTTCATTGAAAGGTTCAGCGACTAGCTTGCTACTCGATGACTTTAAGTCGTGGCAAGGCTTGCTGTTGTAACTACCCAGAGACTCGTGGCGAAAGTCGTGATAGCACTATAATATATAAGAAGAGACCGCGAATAGCATAATGAGATGGAAAGCCTGAGTTTCCCTTCGTTTTGCTCGACGTTTCGAAACGACAACAGTTGTATTAGTTATAACTACTATTAAGATTGGTTGCTTGTAATTTCTCCGATGGAACGGCCGTCTGTGCGGTTGGGGCTGCCGAGTGAATTTTTGGTTTCACTACGCGTTAAAGACATTGAGGAATTGGCTGAAATGACGAGTTGATTGGCAATTTAAGTTAGCCGCCTGTAAGAACGTGGTCACAGCTACGCGGTCAACGCTGCGAACGAGCGTGATTGATTTTTAGACGCTGGTCAGCTGGGGCAGAGACAATCTGTTCTCTTAAATTTGTTATCAAACCCTATTTGCTCGGCAGCGAGGTTCATCCGATCAAGGTACTTATCTTCAACGAGAAAGCGCAGAATGGACTCAAAGCAGACCCAGGAATGGTAAGGATAGTGGGTAGCAACAAGCTCACAACAAACTGTAGCAATCCTCGGGTCCGGACAATATACCAGCACGTTTATTTTGAAATTTCAATTCTATAGAGAATTGCCGCTTAACTAGTAGTGCGCTAGTCGCAGCGTGTCGGAATCGACAGGCAACTGCTACAAATAGCCGAAAATGTAGCAGCATAATATTTAATAGCTGTTTTTTTAGACATATTGGATCCTAAACTAGTGACCAGTAGAAACATGTGACATCTACGACTTTGCAGTATTCAAATACAGTCGAGAACAATCAAACCGCCAGCAATACTTTTAGGGCAGACAGACAAACATTTACTTCCGTTAATATCGCTCCTATTTACAACTATTCTGTGGTCGCGTAAACAAACACTTTCATTGAAAACCCTTGTGCCTTCCCTGAAAGCGTGGCCTTCCCGGCTTCTCACAGACATCGCGTCACTAGCAGAGTTGCCTCGCACGCTAAAGTGCTTATGCTTAGGTACTTGGACAGATATTCTTCAAAGATGGCTTTCTTTCCTTTCGGAGTTAGATTCACTCCGCCTCCGTCTGTCCCGCTACTGAACGCTTTTCATCGCCACGTCGTCGCTCAGAAGCCCTACAGACCAAGCAGCCGCTCATAAAACGCCAGACCCTATTTTTCTGCCTGTTTATTAAGACTTCTCCCGCCTAGAAACCGGCTCCGTGAGAAGCTCTAACTAAGCTGAGGGCTTCTCAAAAGCTTTGGAAACGGATGGAACTTATCGTAGTAGCCCTATGTCAGAAGTTTTTATATACGGGATACCAAAAAGGAAGCCTTATTCAAATTTTATGTATACAAATAATTAGGAACAATGTAACATCGAAACTGATTTCAAAGTAATCAAACGGATCATTATTGCGTATATGCCCCTTATGTATCGATATTTACAAGTATCGTAGAAAATATTATATTTGGTTCAGCATATCGTTCAGATGTACGCTTATAAACATAGTAACGAGTTAATACTATAAAATAAATTTTTAAATTAAATAAATGACTGCGCTAGACTCTCAATTTCTGCTCGTGGCTTCTGATTCAATCGAGTTGAATTCCATTGTTAGTGAAGCATTTGAGACAGAATATGGCTGAATTCTTCTGCTACAAATTAGATTAGATCACCCTGAAATAATGCCAGTAAAAAGTTGAATTCCAAAAAAAGATTTAGAAACCGGATTAGAAATATAGCACGTGAGACACATCTACATATATATTGAAACTAAAAGCAAACCGTTAGGGGGTTGGAATCGGTTGACACATAGACTATTTTCTTTCCTTCAGTCGAATCTGCTGACCAGCCTTAGCATGACTGAGAATTGGGTTTACTGCATTTGTGAATACTTACCTTTGATGCGAAAGTGACACCCGGCCAGTTTATGGGTATCGGTAGTTAGATTGGGCTTCTTTGATGAACCTTCTTGAACTACCGATACTGATGAGATATTCAATCCACGCCGTTCTAATACGCCTGATAAGACGTCCCTGAAAAATCAATGACGAGCTTTAATGTTTAGATAGTATTGGAAATTTCGATCGGCTTTCTTATTGTCGAGCTCGGACTAAGGGAAGGCATGAAAGCTTCTAGTTTACAGGTTCATTAAACCCGATTGTCCAAAAGTGAGCATTTGGTAGGCGTTGAACGATTAAGCCCTATTAGCTGTTCGGATCACTTTGTAAATATACAAAGTTTGAGAAGCGAGTTCTTCAAGTAGTTTTTTATTTGCTCTGTGTGTGTTTAAACCGAAGAGTTCTCTTCTGTTACTCTTCAAATGGATAACTAGTTAGTGGTGGACAAAAGAAAAGTTTCATCCTAGAAGAATATAGAATACGCCATCGCACGTCTTGTGCTGGCCGGCATAGGTGCCTAGTTCAAAGGCCACGAAATAAAGCTAAAACGGCTTGATTCTTGTATGGATGTTGCTCTTTCCTAGACCGCTACATCCATCCCCACCCTGTCCCTTTATCTTTCAGTTAAGTGATCGCTAGAGCCCATTCTTTGACTGGTGCCTTATCCGGGCTGGAATTGCCATAGAAAATCATACTTGCCCACTGTGAACACACGTGCACACCCACCCGCGCAAACGTACACTTACCCACACATAGGCCCCCGCCTACGGACAGGCCTACGCCCACGCACAGACCTGCTCACGCATGTACATACACCGGCCCGTGCACACAAAGAGATCTAGATACGTAAACACACGCACCCGCCTGCGTATATACATACAGCCATCCGTGTACACACAGACGCGCACGCACCCGCATATATATATACGCACTCATCGGTGCCTATACTTGCCCACGCCCATGTAGAAAAGGAAATCAAAAAATCAGATAGTGAGTAAAGATCAGAGCGTCAGAAAGTGGCCGCAACAAAAAGAGCAGGGTATCGAAAAAAACGAAGCGTTACGCGGCTCTGCCTGTTGCAATGACAGCTTCGGCCAGCAGTAGCTCGTTTTATCCTGATCTCTCCTTTTTTTTTCTTTTGGAATCAAACAACCGTCTAAGTATAGCTGACAATCGACTGTTCGCTTCTGGGCACAGCAGGTGCCCATATCCATAGGTCTGTATGCATATAAGGTATATAGCAAGAAATAAGAACAATGACGACCAAAATGAAAAAGCCAGAAAGACACAGTTATACGGCACCTCTTTTACTTCAGGTACCAGCATTTCCATCAGTGTTCCCATACGATTTTTTTAATATCTGCTTTTTATAATATGGCGCAGCATTGCAGTTAGTTAGATATATCCGCCACGTGGGATGCGGCTAAGTAAACCCGTTTTCACAAAGCAGGTTTAGCGTCGTTGTAATCCTTTTTTGAGCTTTCCAGGTGTCATATGTATCATGTACAGGATTTGCCGAACCAAACCGATGGCCATTGTTCCACTGGAACCAATCAGCCAGCCTGTCACTTTCAACAACAAACGATTGTGATAAACTGCAGGGGCAGTCAAAGACGGAGGAGATGATGGCAGAAATGTTTTGGGGGAGGACGGATTGAACGGAAGTCGTCGTAGTTATCGTCGTCCTGGATGAAGTGGTAGCAATTGCTGCCGTGAGTGCTGGCCTACTGCTTCGAGTAGCGAAAGGAACGAAAAGTTTGAGGGGAAGACACGAAGGTCAAAAGGGAAAGTAGCGTTAGCAAGTGAAATTGCGACCGACTGGTAAGTCTCGAGTACGGAACGTAGAGCAGATTCAAATGTAGCAGCTATTCTAAACAGAACCTTGGGACTTGAAGACGACACGACAAGGTACAATTTACCCAAGATCGTATAGATGATGTGGACCGCCCGCAACGAAGTGCTGATGACGGCGACGTCATTGTCGTTGCTGGCTATGAACCAATACTCCACAATGATACCGACCTTCGGCTGCTGCTATAACACTATCCAATGTAAAAGGGCAGCACTGCGAGTGGTAGAAAGCATGTTGGCCTGTGAAGCTCACTCAGGCTCCATAAAATTTGTCCTGGGCGGGAAACATGTACGCGGAGGGATATAAGGTATCAGACGGTGCAATGAAAAACTGAGATACCGAGATGGACAGGAGAACCATGTTGCCTTTTTCGGGTGACGTTGAAAAAGGAGACAGGCACGCTAGGAAAAGAAGGTAGGAGCTAAACTACAGAGTGAAACGCCGTATTGTCCTGCAAATAACAGCAGTGGTTTTTCGGGACGGGAAGTCGGTCACCCGATAGAAACTTACATACGTGTCGTGCGCAACAATTTAGTTGGTTATAATAAGAAACGGTTTCATAAGATTAATCTGAACCAATACAAAGATAGATCTACCGAATTGGGAGACGCTTGCCCATTTTTAAGCTTCAAGTCCAAAAGAAATCAAGCACTTATTATTATTATTTCTTACATTCGGTGGTGTTTTTAAACATTTCAGCATACTTCTCGTATAATTTGTCTGAACTAAGAACGCATTTTACGCATTTTAGTATAAAGCTGATATTGTGTTCTCGAAGCTGATTTTTACCACTATTTACAGGGTTCTCTGCGTACATGTCTCCTGATCTGTCTAAACAAATTTTAGATAGCGTTTTTAAAAGCGGTAAACCAATGTCCTTGATTTAACGATCTCATAATGCAATTGTCCCGCGACCGCTTTAAGCTATTAAATATGTATTGACTGAAAATCTTAATCGTATCCCGATTCGCATTGCAGGACAGCTGTCGTATATACAAATATCGACACCTCAAAAGATAACTCTCCCTGGTCCAGCTCTCAATAAGAAACCTGCGAGTGCTTAGTTAGAGATTGCATATAGGTCCACCATAGACGAGCTCCGACTCAAAGCCGAAGTAACATCCGAAGGTTAATAAGTGACAGGGAATAGGACGACTAGCTTTAGATAGTCGCCCATGAAATCGCTTTACGGATGGCGTTTAGAAAAATCGCTTGGTACTTTTGTCGAGCCTGGCTTCACATAACTAGCCCATAGCATAAGACGAAACGTATCGGTGCCAGGATTCGAACCTAGATCACCGCGTATTCCAAAGTTTAGTAGATAAACATATTACCAACGTACCATTACACTATCATTGCACTAAATGCCCTTTAGATGGAACAGAGTGAACTGTTTCTTCGGAGCTGTCACCGACTGCTAATACGTCCCATTGAACTTTCCCATGCTCATCATGAGCGTCACTAAAACAGCAAGCTGTACGGGAAACATTCGTTTCGGCTTGCGTCACGGGGACACCGGCCGCTTTGCGGAATAAAGCTGCTACTAACAATTCAATGCGGACTCGCAGTCTAAATGGGAAGTTTTAGCCATGCTGAATTTGATAATCGGTCTGAAGCAAAAACGCAAAACGCGCAATTTTTTCGCCCCGCCTCAAACCTCCCGATAGAGTCGCCGTCATAGCAAAGCTCTCAGAGGTGAAGACTTCATCTTTGCGATGCGCTAATACTGTTTAAATAAGTAGTAATAATAATATCAACTAGACACGTATGTAACATATCGAATCCGTGATTTTTAGCGTTACAGTTAGCGATGACTCGGCTGTGGGCTCCATGGTAACACTAAAACCTATGTGAGGTCACTTTGTGACGCACTTTTTGACGGAACTATTATAAACTTATATATTTTTACTCGTTTAATATTTAACTATCAAAACTGGAATTCGAGTGAACAAAATAGACTTTAAATTCTACACGTAAATGGCTTTCATTGAGAAAAAGCAATTTTTGATTGTTTCAATTCTCTAGAAATTTGTCAAATGTAGGGTGTATATATACATATACATATATATATATACATATATATATATATATATATATATATATATATATATTTATATATAAATCAAGGAAAACAGGATGACTGGTAAAGTTTTATCTTGGAACAGAGTTCTGGAAATCCCTACTGGCGATAAGGCTACTTTGACATTAAGTAGGTGAAAGCCATATAGGTCTAAGGGCCTTTCGTCAGTACTTTACTATTAAATAAAATATATTATTTTGCTATTAGCAATCTTCGCTAATAGATTTCTTCTGGGTTAGCACGTCACGTTATGGCTAATCGGAACTAGAATAGTACACATATAAACCATCTGGAATATGCACAGTTTTTTTTTTGCCTTAATGGACACATGTCCTTAATAATCAAGTTGAGATAAATTTTATCCTGAGATGGTAGTGCTTGAAAGCAAGCCTATTGACAGCCAGCAGTTTTGGGCTTTTCCATACAAGGTTAAATCTTTATTCAGAGCGCTTTCCCTCCGCTTGTTCAGATCAAGGTTTGTGGATGAAAAATATTTCACAACGTCGGCTGGTTGGATTAATTTTTCCTTCGGCCAGTAATGACCCCCTACCGAGTTTTTGTTAGCTTATCTAGCCTTTGATCATCTATGACTTCAAGTACGTATAGAGAAATACATCGGTGCCGGGTCGTGGGAGTTAAATAAAGAACGTAGGCGGGTTTTATTTCTCTAGCACATTAGTACACATGGCTTTCGCAGGTCCCGTAGGAAACGTGCGGACCGATTCATTCTATTATGTCGCTCAATAAAGAAACAGTCATAGAGAGGACTTCACCCTTTAGAGTAGGCAATGACAGAGAAGGCGAAGATAATCGATAGGCCCCAACAGTTTCGCTTCAGAGAAACTCGCCTCTTCCAGTCCGCCCACTTTCTGCCTTCATCTTGTGACCCTCCCGAGCCGGAGGAAAGAGAGAAAAGGGCAAATGGCCTTTGGAGATTCCGAGAAATTAGCCTTACTTTATTTCTTTCATTGGCAGCTTCAGATGGTCGTCTATACCGAAACGATGCTTATTCAACCGCCGAAATACTATATCTTTTTCGATGGCAACTGGCAACATCTAGGATGCAACTTAGCCAAGAGATAGGTAAAAACGACACTGTATAGACGGAGATGTATGCGAAAAATATATAGACATTACTGTAAATTTCAAGTCATGTGACATGTAGACCGTTTGTTAATACTCGGCTTGATCGGATATCGTTCC